TAGGTTTGATTCTTCAGTTTCCCACGCTCCAGCAGAACCTTCAATCACAACTTAGCCTCCAAGGGTTCCAGAGAAGAATCGGGTGCCGATCTCAAAGTCCTTATTTATAGATTTCTGGAAATAGGGTTGATTCGTCGATTCCAGGGACTAACTCGCCGAGTCGTTGATTAAAAATCCATGTACGACGAGGATTTATATTGCTTCGTGAAGGTTCAACATGACTCTTCGAGTTAGGCATTGACTCGCCGAGTCCTTCAGGATTTTTGACACTTTTCTTCTTTGTTTACTTCCTGAGCTCCCGATTGCTATTCTCACTTCCTTTTGCTTTCGAGCACTTTTTTTAGGCTGAAAATACAATTTAGACATAATTAAGTACCTTTTGTTCATTAATTGCTTTAAAATAGTCAAAAAGTATTAATATTCTATACAAAATATATGTCTAAATATGCATATATCACAACCGTTGGATATCCCAATGTGGAAATGGGAATATATTACTATGGATTTCATCACAAAGCTTCCCAGGACTGCACGAGGAGTGGATTCGATTTGGGTCATCGTGGATCGGTTAACCAAGAGTGCCCATTTCATACCGATCCAGGAGAGCATCTCGGCCAAGAAGCTGGCCGATATCTACATCCGAGAGGTAGTAGCCCGACATTGAGTGCCAGTTTCCGTGATTTCTGACAGAGACGTGTGGTTCACTTCCAGATTCTAGAAGAAATTTCATGACGAGTTGGGTACTCGTCTGCACTTTAGCATTGCTTTTCACCCGTAGACGGATGGACAAAGCGAGCAGACCATTCAGAAATTATAGGACATGTTGTGGGCTTGTGTTATAGACTTTGGTGGTAGCTGGGATACCTACCTTCCATTGGCAGAGTTTTTTCCTACAACAATAGCTACCACTGGAGTATTGATCGTCCTCCCTTCGAGATGTTGTACGGGAGGAAGTGCAGGACCCTTATATGTTGGGGTGAGGTTAGGCACAGAGTCATGGGGAGTACCAAAGTGGTACTCAAGACGACGGAGAGGATTCAGCAGGTTCGGATCAGGCTTCAAACTGCTCAGAGTCAGCAGAAAAGTTATACCAACAAGCGTCGTTCGGACCTAGAATTCTAGGTCGGGGATATAGTCCTCCTTAAGGTGTCACCTTGGAAATGTGTCATCCGATTCAGGAAGAGAGAAAAGTTGGGCCCCAGGTACATCGGTGCCTTTAAGGTTGCAACCCGGGTGGGTAAGGTGGCATATAGGCTGGATCTACCAGCCGAGCTTAGCCAGATTCACAGTACTTTTCACATCTCCCAGCTGTGGAAGTGCTTGGTGGATGACTCTGCAGTAGTGCCTCTCGGGGATATTAAGGTGGATGACAGTCTGAACTACATCGAGTGACCGATAGCCATTCTAGATAGGAAGATGAAGGCGCTGAGGAACAAGGAAGTAGAGCTGGTGAAAGTGCAGTGGCAGCACCGCAAGAGTTCGGAATGGACATGGGAGCCAGAATATGAGATGAGGGAGCACTACGCCGAGTTATTTTCAGCAGGAACAACGAACTTCGAGGAAGAAGTCTAATTCAAGTGGGGGAGATTTGTAACATTCGAGATTTATCAGGTATTAATATTATTTATCTTATTGAATAATGGGTTGTTTTGGTTTGGGAAAGGATAGTTGGGCTTCAAGAATTGGGCTGAGAAGGCCATTACGTGGGGCGTACCATGCCAGGTACACTCAACGTCCTCAAGAGAATTAGGCGGGGAGGCCATGCACGTACACCTAGCGTCCCAAAGGGTACACGCAACGTACACACGCAGGTCCTAAACCCTAAATTTTAGGGTTTGATCCCTATTTAAAGGACCTTATGTCCTTGGACCAGCCTTCCTATCACCCTTAAGCAGCTACCTCGAAAACCATAACCTACTTTTGCGTATTTTTGCCATTTGAGAGCTTCTTTGTGTGATTTTGATGTTTTAGATAAAAAGGAGGTTGGAGAAGGAGCAAGGATTCAAAAGGAGCTTGTAGATCTAGAAGATTAGCACCATTTCTGACTTATTTGAGGTATCAAGCTTCAAACTTGATCATTGCATACTTAGATTTGATGTTGAGGTGTTTTATGCCACTTTTGGATGCCATTGTTGAGGCTTCTTGCATCTTGACGATTTCAGACCATAAGAGTTCTCCTTTTGGGCTCTTAGAGGCACTAAGAGTCATAAAAATCGGACCTTGATGATTAAGCCACAACCATGCAAGTGTTTGATGATTATAAAGCTTGTTGAAGGACCAAAATCATGTTTTGACCCTCAACCATGCATGCAAGCACATAAAGTTTGTGACTTTATGGATTAGGAGGTCTTAAAGGACATGGATCAACATTTTGGACATGAGGACTTAATGGATTAAGTCACAAATGAAGTCCCAAGAAAGTTGGCCAGTACGCTAAGTGTACACCCTGGTACACTGCACGTACTGGGTCAACTTCCTGTTTGCGGTCAAGGCCAGTGTACGCTAGGTGTACATGCCAAGTACGTTGCGTGTACGCATGCAGAGTGGCTACGTTGGGCTTTTTGGGCCTTAGGGGACTGATCCTGGACTATTGGGCCATGTGGCTTACTGTAGAGTATAGTTTTGGGCCTGGGAATCTGGAGTAGAGCATTGGGCCATGTTGGGTCTTTTAAAATTATTATTGGACTAAGAACTTTTGGACTTGTAATGGGCCTATTTGGGGAATACGGTCCAATTCATAAAATTAGGCCATTAGTGGGCCCCTAGGGAGCCTTTAATGGGCAATATGTGAGCTGGTTTATTAAGTTAGAATTGGGCCTTATGAATGGTTCAAATTAGGCCAAGGGGGTAAAATGGTCATTTTACCCTAAGTAGTGCTATAGATTCTGATTGAGTGTTATTGTGATTATGATAGTATGGAGTCATCAGAGCAGCTAACAGAGATTACTTACTGTGAGATTTGACACACAACTTTACGAGGTGAGTTACCTTCCAGTAGAAGTGGGTCTAAGGCCACAATGTCGGCCCACTAGTAGGAGCTTGTAGTTAGATGATTATCTGTGTGATAATTGTTTGGTATGCCACTATCTGTTATGTTCTATGTGCCAGTATGCTATGATTCTATGTGGTAGTGGTAGGGGTGAAATAGTCCCTGATATCCAGTTGAAATAGATCGAATGAGAGGCTAGCACCCAGATTTGCTAGGTAGTTATCCGGTTGAAATAGACCGAAGGGGAGGCCAGCACCGAGATATGTTAGGTAGTTATCCGGTTGAAATAGACCGAAAGGGAGGTCAGCACCCAGATATGCTAGGCAACTATCCGGTTGAAATAGACCGAATGGGAAGCCGGCACCCAGATATGCCTGACTATATATGTTATTGTACGGTATGTGGTATGATGGGGGAACTCACTAAGCTTTATGCTTACGATTTTCAGTTTTGGTTTCAGGTACTTCCTCTTCGAAGGGAAATGAGCTATCACAGTAGCAACGCATCGCACTCATGATTTTCGCACTTTGATGTTCTTGGGATTGTACTCTGATATTATTATTATTCCACGACATGTTTTATGACTTTTGACTTATTGGATTATGGATTGATATGATAACAATGATGTTTTTTAGTAAACTGTTTTATAAGTAACATGATTAAAAACAAAAAAATTTTGTCATGATTTTTGAGATGTTACAGAGAGATAGTGAGAGAAAAAGAGTGATAGAGAGAGAGAGAGACATAGATGTAAACACCTCTTTATATAGTGGGTTGCATACAATTTGTAGAGGTGTGCTTAAGAGATGTAGTTTATAATGACTATTGAGTGAGATATTTATGAAGTTCTAGACTAGTTCCTTTTTTGTACTCATTTACTATGATCGAATACATCTTTTACCACCCAAATCACCATGTTCTTTGTGTTAATTTAATTCCGCATGTCAAATCAATGCTCTTAATTCACTTCAGTGCCCATATGTTTAATTGCAAACCTACATGCACTCTGGCTAATACCTCAACAAAATCGGTCATATCTCCCTTATTGTTGACATGACATTATACAAAAGCCTATGTGGTGTTCTGATGTACCTCACATTCATCGGTCCTGACATCACTTATGCAATTCAACGAATATGCCTCTACATGAACGATCCTAGTGAGTCCCACATTACCGCTTTAAAGAAGATCCTACAATACATTTAAGACACTACACACTTCAAACTGCAACTCGTTGTCTCTCTCATGCGGCGTCTTATTGTATACTCTGATGTTAACCGGACACGTTGCTTAAATACCAAGTGATCCACATCGGGCTATTTTTTTATTTCTTGGCCCAAATTTGCTTCACTGGTCATCGAATAGGCATGAAACCATATCTAGATCTAGCGTCGGGGTTGAATACAGTGAGGTTGCTAATGTGGTTGCCGAAGTAAGTTGGGTGCAAAACTTGATGCGTTAAACTCTATCAATGTATCTCCATCACTACCATTGTCTATTGTGACAATGCTAGTGATGTGTATCTTGGTGCCAAACCAAAACATTAAAATAGACATCTAGTTTGCTCGGGATATGATTGCAAGCTAGTTGTAACGGTTCATGTTTGTGATCTGCATGTTGCCTCCTTTTATGTTGATTGATATCTTCATCAAATGGCTTCCTTTTACTTTATTTTTCTTGATTTCCCGTCAAATTTGAATGTCATGCCGTTGAAACTGCAGGGTTGTTAATATAATTATTTGCAATTATTTGCAATTATCTATGTATAATCCGTCTAAAAATCGACAAAATGAGACATATTTTAGTTAGAATTAATTAAATTTTGTGCCGAATTGAAAAAGTCCTTCCGCAACACCGCGTGAAACACTACTGGCTACCATGTCCATTTCCTGGATCTGACTGTGCTTCGCTGTCTTTCTCAAATTCCTCCTTTCCTGTCCTCTCTCTCTCTCTCTCTCTCTCTCTCTCTCTCTTCTCTCTCTCTCTCTCTCTCGTAGTTGAAGTAGAAGAAGACTAACAATCATAATATCAATCGTTTTGCGGGACTTCAATTGGAGCATCTTTAAACATGAAGATTTCGATCTCACTTCTTCTTCTGCTCTTCTGCATCTCTACTTGTTTCTCTTCTCCGGTCTCCGTTTCAGGTTTGTTTCTTTAATTCCGATTTTCATTGTGATTTAGTGGTTTTACGTCTGATCTTCACTTTTAACCCCTTCTTCGTCGCTTGTTTTCTGTGTACAGATGGTGTATTCTCCTCTGATTTAGCTTCAATTGGAAGAAACCTTCTCCAGGCCAAGAAACGTATGCTCTTTTATCCTGCATAATCTATTTGAACTCATCAGCTTGTTCTTACTTCTAGTTGTTTTCTCTCGTTTTCATTGTTTTAATCACCAAATTATCTGGTTTAATTCGATTCTCAAAATTGGAGAATGAGGTTGAATGATTCGGGTTGATCTATAAGCTAGGGTTTTGCAGCACGAGATTTTGAACTCGACTTAGCTCAATTTCGATTCAAATCCATGCTCTTGATATATTGAATTTGACTTTGATTAAATCGATTGGTCTTACTTTTACTTGCAGCTTGTCCTGTAAACTTTGAGTTCATGAATTACACAATCATCACCAGTCGTTGCAAAGGACCACGCTACCCTGCTGATCTCTGTTGTCAAGCTTTCAAAGACTTCGCATGTCCTTATGCAGCAGACTTAAACGACTTAGAGAACGAGTGTTCTTCAACAATGTTCAGCTACATCAATCTGTATGGCGGCTATCCACCTGGCCTTTTTGCTAGCTTGTGTCGCGATGACAAAGTAGGCCTTATCTGCCCTGCTTTAGCACCAGGAACAGCAAGGAATGGTGTAGGAGCCGATACCAACAACAGCCACATCATCCGCAATCCATCCTTACTACTCTCACTAACTGCAACTTTTCTTATCTTATTCTTCCGGTGGTTTTGAAGGATCAAGAATCAAGATTCCTCATTCATGTTGCCAAATTCCTGTAAGTTTGTTTTGAGTTATTCTTTAATGTTGTATCATCAATATTAGATAGCCCACGAAGGAGATTCTTTTTTTGTTTTTGTATAATTAATTAATATCTTCCTTTACCCACTAAGAAAATTTGGTATTTTTTTTACAACGAATGCATCTCTGTAATCAATCATGCTATATATGTGTGGTCCTACTTTCCTATATATAAAACGATCTTTCATCTTTTTGTTTCTTGGATAATGTTTATATGGCTGTGAACGAATAGCAATACTTCAAATACTAAAATAAATTTCCCCTTAGAAAGACTAAAGAGAATAAATAGTATGACAACATGTGTAACAGTGCCTGTCACGTTGTTGCAAATGTGCAACAACGTTAAAGAAACCAAGCAATTACACACCCAGTTTGTGGTGTCAGGATTGATCAAACGTAAGATTAATACAACGAGGTTAATCGAATCATATTCTGCATGTGGCGAAATCAATGACGCTTTGTCTCTGTTTGAGAAAGTCCGTTTTCCAGATGTATATGCCTACAACATGATTATCAGATGCTTAACGTTAGTTAATCGCCAGCATGAATCACTTTTATTTTACAAAAAACTCTTAGAGGAAACCCTAACACCCGACAACCACACATACACTTATGTTCTAAAAGCTTGTTCCCACTTAAAAGCCCTTTCGGAAGGTAAACAACTACATGCGCGAATCATCAAAGATGGAATAAAACCCGACACTTATATCCACAGCTCGATGATAAAAATGTACGCGAATTCAGGTGACACCGAGTCGTCTGAACGCGTTCTTGCCCAGTTCCCCGACGAAAACGTGTCCGCAAAGAATTCCATGATCACCAGCTACATGAACCTGGGAGAAATTAAGTTCGCCCGCCAACTGTTCGATAAAATGTCTACAAGAAATTCTGCAACTTGGAGCGCAATGATAACAGGGTACACCCGAAACGGTATGCACGAGAACGCGTTAGCCGTCTTTCAAGAAATGGTAGCGTGTAAGATTCCAATGAACGAGTCGAGTCTTGTGAGCGCGCTTTCTGCATGCGGGCGTTCGGGAGCACTTGATCAGGGTCGATGGATACATGGTTATATCAACCGGACGTGGGGGGATATTAGCGTTAATCTTGGAACGTCGATTGTTGACATGTATGCGGGGTGCGGATGTATTGATTTTGCTTATGAAGTCTTCAAAAACATGTCGTCAAAAGACGTTGTGGCGTATGGAGTTATGATTTCAGGGTTTGCGAAACACGGGTTGGCTCACAAATGCTTCCAACTTTTTGATGAAATGGTTGATAATGGAATACAACCGAATGGAGTTATATTTGTAGCCATACTCACCGCATGTTCTCATGGGGGATATGTAGACTTGGGTCAATCATATTTCAACCAAATGACAAGTTTATATAATATTACACCATCGGTTCACCATTACGGGTGCATGGTTGATCTTTTGGGGCGTGCGGGTAGGCTAGATGAGGCGGAAGAGGTCATATCTACAATGGTGGAAGAGCCAAATGTGGTTATTTGGGGTGCGTTGCTTGCGGCTTGTAGAATCCATAAAGATTTTAAGCGCAGGGAATTGGCTTTTAAGCAGATAGTGGCGTTGGAGCCATGGTCTGGTGAGCGGTATAAGCTAGCAAGTCACGTGTTTGCAGACACTGAAGAAGAACAAGAACGCGTACATAAATTGAGAAAACAACTTTCGGATAGAAATTTAGAGACAAGGCGAGGGTCGAGCTTGATTGAGGTTGAGGGGGAGGTTCATGAATTTGTGGCAAGTGATATCGATCATGGAATGTATCAAGATATATATGGTTTGTTTGAGGGATGAATTTTAGATGTGTCATTTTAATGAGGACTAATTTTATTATGGACTTTCTAACTTCTATAGATATTCAAAAATACTCTTATATTTATTAACTTACAATTTAGACTCACATTTTTTTACACCAACTTTATGAAGTGGAATGAATTTGAATGAATGTAGCACGATAAAAAAACAGAAATTTCATTAAAAGCTAGCAAATGTGTAATTTTCGTTGGTGTATTTGAATGAATATGGATGTAGTAAAGAGCTCGTTTCAAAGTATTTATCCTTTAACTATTTTTGTTTGTTTTACTTGGATTATTATTTAATTATGTTGCGACTATTTGGGTTTTCGTTACTAATATTTAGACAAGGTGCAATCGTCATTTATTTTTGTTCGGATAGTTCGGAAATCCAAGAAAGAAACAACTGTTTGTATCCATCATTTTATTCATACACCAAACTTTATTATATACGTCACTTCATCCATACTGCCCATACAACAAACCTTTTGTATACATCACTTAATGCATGCATATATCATTTAAAACCATTCAACATTTTACCATATAAGACTTAATGGGAAAAACACAGTCTTGAGAAGATTTACGAAGTTGTGCTATAGTTTATTTTTATTTTTTTCGTACCCGAACATCCAAGACTTGACTATAATAGTTTTGCTAATAGTTCATTAACTAACCATATCATAATATAAAGTTTTTAAAACTTAGCAGCAAAAGACTAATTAACAACATCTCCAAATTACATTAGGAATATAAAGCAAACGAATACTAATAGAGATAACTAAATAAGTTAAAACAACTTGAGAATCTTCAATGTTTTCTTATTTCTTTTCGCCAGCGTGCTTGATATAATGTATGTGGTGTTTGGCACAATGCCTACCGTGCTTGGCGGAATGTCCATAGTGATCGACAAAATGTTTGCAATGCTTGATGAGCATATCCCGTGAACGGACCTATTGACCATACCATTTGATGACATATTGTAGAGTAAAGTCAAATATGGAAATGATAATATTCGTAAAATTTACACAAATTAAATTAGTCGGGCTTATTAATAAAGTCTTTCTTTTACGTTAAGCATGAATGGTCACACTTTAACTATAAGATTTCATTATTCTAGAAATGAGATTTTGATTTGAATTCAGTATTTGGATATTGGAACATTAAAACGACAACTATTATATTGTTTTGATATATTGGGATATGATCATCATATCAATACTTGTTATGTTCATATTAACATGTTTAATCCATGAATAATCTTATTATTCTGAAAGTTCATAGTCGGTGTAATGACCTAATTTTCAAAGCAAAATTTTTATTTTAGAATAAGCAAACATATTCCTATACATTAAGAAACCCAATTATAATTGTTTTCAAAACATAAGTCAAATACAACTTATATTCCAAACATCAGAGTGTCCCATAATACACATGTGAGAGAGTGCACGTCGCGCTATCATGCCTTGCCCTTTCCCTTGGGATCTGAAGTACCTGAAACCATAAACAAACTTGTAAGCACGAAGCTTAGTGAGTTCCCCAGAGCATACCCAACACACAATTCACACAACATGTTCGCTATAAAAGCTACCTCTACCACATGACACATAACAATTAGCTATAAAGCTACCTCTACCACATAATACATATCGATTAGTTATGAAGCTATCTCTACCATTAGCCATAAAGGCTATCTCTACCCTTAGCCATAAATGCTATCTCTACCATTAGCCCTGAAGGCTATCTTTACCACTAGCTGTAAAAGTTATCTCTACCACATATCAATGCATAACAATACCACACACCTCTACACAGTAAGTATACCAGCTATCATAAAATGGGTCGGCATTGGTGCCTTAGACCCATTGGTATGGTGAGGAGACTCACCTCGAATGCAGAAGCTTCCAGAAGAAATCCTTAACTGCTGCCCTGTCCACTTCCTGAACCATCAATATTGATCAATATATCCAATTAGCAACTAGGTCCCATAACATAATCCTTAATCCAAAACAAAACCCAACACTAAGTAGGCTTTCCAAGCCCACTATTGGTCCATTAATGGCCCAATTTGCTCAATTAGGCCAAATCCCTCTAATGGGCCTTACCCTAAGCCCAAACATATTCTTGGCCCAAAACATCTGACTCTTGATGGCCTACTGAAGCCCAAAGACCCAAAGTCCACTGCTTGGCCCAACCCGAGGCCCAAAACACTACAAGCCCAAAACTGATGAGTACGCGGGGTGTACTCCTATGTACGCTAATGGTACTGACTGAAGGTGGTGTACGTTGCATGTACCTACATGTACGGCCATTGTACTCCTTTGTTAAGTAGTGTTGTAAAACTCGCCGAGTTGGCCGATTACTCCTCCGAGTACTCGCTACTCGACCCCTTACCGAGACGAGTTACAGAATCCCGAGTACTCCCCGATCGGTCCCTTACTGAACTGAGCAGTTTTGTAAAACCCGGTCAACTCGATGATTAATATGTATAATATACTTAACGATTTATTATTTAGCACAAAATATGTGATTATTACTACATATATTTCTTAATTTTTCAGTAGTTATTCACGAAGTAAGGCCATTATGTGTTTTTCAGTTTTTGTGTATTCACATGTATCTAATTTCGTTATATATTTCAATCAACTTAAGATTTTAACTTATGATTTTGACATATATAAGTTCCCTAAAAGTATTTTTAAATGAATTACCGAATATGAGTACTCCCGAGTACTTCGCTACTCGGTAGTCGGCCAAACAGGTACGTGTAACGAGTTCTACAACCTTGCTGTTAAGTTACTATTCCATTAAGTGCTTAATACTCGGGATTTCAACATCAAACTTAAGATCTAAGTCCATTAAGATGTCTTAAGGCATAAAGTTGGCAAATTTTTGCCTTTGCATGCTCCATATGCTCCCAACAACCCATTAATATCTTTCCAAGGGTCTTGATCCATGCATGAGGTTAGAATACTCATCAAGATTGCATTTTTATGAAGTAGATGGACCAAAGGACCTCAGATCTACTCTTCCTAATCTCTGGAGTTGCTCAACTCCCACGAGATAGTCCAAAAGCTCATAAGAAACACCAAACAAGCCCTAATCTAGATCTCAAGCTATAAGATAATAAGGTAGAAACTTTATACCTTCTGAGACTTGCAAATGAGCTGGAGAACCTGAATCTGAAAGCTCTTCCCTAATCAATGAGACTCCAAGATGATCACTCATCTTCAAGAACACCAAGATGCACTCCAAGATGGCCTCACAAGCTCACACTCTCATAATTAGGGTTAGGGTTTTGAAGAGGGGTTTAAGGATGAGAAGGAGGCTGACCCTAGAGGATGTAATGTTCTTTATCACACTCTAAAAATTAGGGTTTAGTAACTTTCGGCGTACGTCTCCAACACCCGTGACCATTTATTCCATCTATGTTGGGCGTACCCCATCTTATGTTGGGCATACTCTTGTGTTGGCCACCTTGCATGCATGGGATCTTCTTGTCACTAATTTCCATTAGGGGCTAAAATTGACAATAACATCAAAGTGCCATAACTCCTTCATTCTAAGTCTGTTTCCTATGAACTTTATATCCACGAAAAGTTGGCGTGAAGCCCTACGCTCCCATCGACACCTCTAAGTCTAAAACCTTCCGGATAAAACCCAGGACCCATAAAAGACCGAATTACCCCTACCCTTTGGTTTCCGAGACCCCAACCGAGTACTTTCAAATCAGGGTGTTACAGTCGGTTATAACTGTGGGAGCAATTACGAAGTAAGGTTAATATGAATTGGATTGGTTGACTCTCACCAGATGAAAATAGCTAGGGGATTGTAACCAAGATTCATAGGTACTTGTAAGAGAACTAGCACTGAATAAACCCATATCAAGGTCAGCTCATAGATCGTTGTTATAAGTGATATTTGATTAAAAAGGTATTGTCTTTGTATCCTCGACACTTGAGATGCATAGTGGGACTTAATTGTATGCAGTGTTGTGCTTTAATATGATCAAATGCTGATCCTTAACTGGGTAGTTATAGAAGCTATTTCCAGGTATGGTGTGAACTATGCAATATGCTTATATAGTCAATATCAGATTTTTTCTTCTTATATGTTGAGGGTTAGACATCTAACGGGCGTTACCAAAGTTGAACACCAAATGAGATTGATTGCGATCAAAGTCTTATGCTCAATAGGATGTTTGTAGCAAATGGATAACTGATAAACTTACCTTATATATCAATTGAAGTCTAAGCTATTGATAGCGCGCTATAGCGGTGCTATAGCAACACTATAGCGTTTTGTTGTATTACCGAACCGCTATTTTGAAATAGCGTTTATGAATTATGGTGACTATTATCGACGCTATTAACCGCTATTTACCACGAATCTCATCAACGCTATAACGATGCTACACCTGCTTTTTACAATTTCATAAACATTGGGCTACTTTTACTAAGAACAAACCGATTGTAAGCTATTTCAATATTAAATCTGTATTTTTTTAGGTAGTCCACTACACTTTTGTTTTAATATGTAACACCCCCCTCTAGCACGTATCACAATATTGTCCGTTTTGGGCTCTTGGCACGAAAACTTCCCAGGGGATCACCCATCCTAGTATTACTCACCCCCAAGCACACTTAATTGCGGAGTTCTGATGAGATTCGATGCATTAGTGCTGATTATCATACCCTTATAAGGATGCTTAGTTCTCATTCCCAGTCGATGTGGGATCTGATGCATTAGTGCTGGTATGATGGCCCTTGCGCAAGGATGGCACACACTAATCGAGAAATGGTCTAAAATTTTAAGGTGGGTTGCACCTGATCCCACATCGGCTTGGAAGGAGAATGAAACATTTCCTTATATGGAGTGTGGGTACCTTCCTTGTCACAACACGTTTTAAAGTCATGAGGGCAACGGATCCCATAAGAACTCTGCAGTTAAGCGTGCTCGGGCGAGAGCAATCCAAAGATGGGTGACCCCCAGGGAATTTTT